AAGTCCAAAAAAGGAAACTCGAGCAGAGCGAACGAATACAAGTCGCAGATTATTTCTTTATTACTAGTACAAATGCTCGTGCGTTGCACCGGGCGAGAAAAAGACACATGTGCGATTGTGCATCATTTTTATATTCAGTTTAATGCACGCCCATAATAAGTTTCAACATGGGAAATTCCTTATTTTAAATAAAAGTTAAGATTTTCATAAAAATTGGAACACTTAATAATTAACATTTTTATGAAAATTGGAACATTTCCTAAAAAAGAATAGTTTTTTAGGAAAAAGATTTTTTTTACATATAATTTTTAGAGCATTTTTGCTAGGGAATTTTTACGGATGGTTGTTTGCTTGGGAAGAGTTTGTTCCTTTTTTTAATGCCCGTGAGTTGCAACAAGTACAATCTTGCAAAACCTGCTCCATGTGTCCTAACGCAACATTTTCTTTTATTCAAATATGATAATTAATGTTACACTTATTCAAATCTGATAATTAATGTTACACTGATTATTGTTTTCATTTTGAGTTTTTGGTCATTAAGAAGCCACCATAGCGTTCTTTGTTTGATTCAAGAGTAGTGGTTCATGGAATAGTCTCTGAGTTGGTTTTATTTTTTGCTTTCCGCCACAGTTGCCGCAGAGGGAGGACAAACGACGCACGAAGACCACCATGGTTGGCATGGAGGGAGGACAACGACGCGCGAAGACGCCTCGAGGGAGATAGGGTAGGTCGCCGGAGCACCAAAACAACGTGGTCGTGATTCTCTGTTTATTCCCAATCTTGATGAAGAGTTCCACACACTGAAGAAACAGAGATCATCCATCGGAAGCAACACACAAACCAGGAGGAGCAGCATAGTTCATATCTTCAGATTGAGGGAAACATATTTGTGGAAATTAAATAATAAGAGCACTGCAATTTCTAGTAAACTACATGATAATTTCAAGCAATACACAGGACCACCATCATATCTTCAAATATACTTTATTGTCATTCTGGACATGTATTTGGTCCTTCATACAACATATATATGCATTGATCACCTATATAATTAAGATTATTTTTAAATACATTAGTTATAGATATTAGTGATTAATAACATTTTCCTATTTGACTACTTACATCATCATTTACCCACTCTTCTTCATCTAGTAGACACATAGATCTGAACCAACAATTGTTTTCTGAAAGATGATTCTATTGCTATATGAGCACATAGATCATGATCGGTCAATGTATAGTCTGCAAAAAATCAAATACTTTAATAATATATTGAATACAAAAGTACACAGAATAAATCAAACAAATACCTTGTGGTAGATAATCATATTTCTCTTCAACTATGATCTCTTTATTTGAATCTGGTTCCTTAACATCATGTAATGGTAAAACTGATTCCGGCACAATCGATTCAAAACATTCAGAAATTGGAGAGATGCTGACATAGTTGGTGACATTGGTGATGGCTCCAGAACACCTGTTTCAGAATTTTTTGCTTTTTTTGAAGGTCAGTTATCCAAATCCTCTGCAATGTTCATTTCAGCAATGTCATCTATCTTCTGCAGTTACAACGTAAACAAAAGGTAAGCCTCAAACCATTATTTTGTTTGTAGAATATGTCAGATTGTGCAAAGATAGAGTCAACAGGGAATTGTATCAAATATGGAGCAAATAGAATAGGCTACTGTTGCCACCACCAAGGGAAGCAAATATATTTTGTATTATATATGATGCAGAACTAATCTTGGGCACTAATTTACTAAAAAAGGGCAGCCCGGTGCATGAAGCTCCCGCTTGCGCAGGGTTCGGGGAAGGGTCCGACCACTTTGGGTCTATTGTACGCAGCCTTGCCCTACATTTCTGTAAGAGGCCGTCTCCAGGACTTGAACCCGTGACCTCATGGGCACTAATTTACTCATTGACGAAAAACTGACTAAAAGATCAGTACCACCTTTTTAGTTCATTTATTGACTGAAGTGTGGCATTTGTGAATATGTAATACTACCTAATCCAAATACATATGCCACCTGATACACATCTATGTGTTTGCTGGACATTCCACTGCAAATTATTACATATATGCTAAAAACTATATACTCAGAATTGGATGATGATATTCTAGAATTGGACGAAATTCTATCAATCGATGCCAAAATTCATAATCAGCATGTATACAACAAATTAATAAATGCTAGACCATTAGCAGAAAACAAATTCTTAGCTAGACCTATAAACTGAAGCAATAAGCGAATTATGACTGAACCAATTTCAGTCAGGAGCAACATCAGAATGATTTCAGCATGCAATTGGAATTCATTAGTACTGTATTAGTAGGGCGTTGATAGATTATGAAATCCACAAAGCACTATGACTGAAGAATAACCAAGCAAATTCAAACAGTGACAAGCAAGCAAATATTTTCAGAAGGTCAAGACGATTCCCAGCGAAAAAAAGTTGCAGCCCCTGCTGCCTGCTAGGAAGTAATGCTATGCTCAGATTCCCTCTTTGAGTACTGCCAGAGCAGTCTAGTCGATAGGTGTAAGTTTTCTTCAGAAAGTTCAGTAGTTTCAGAGTTCTTCAGTTTCAGTTTTTCTGTTAGAGCACGAGGGCACGATCATTGTGTGTTCCGTGCGAATATGTAGGAAGCCAGTTGCATGACTTCGCCTATGGGATGGCGCGGGCACGATGGGGTTGTTGCGAGCATCACCACATCACTTTAGATCGCTGAATAAAAGGATAAGCAAAAAAACAGCAGAATTTGGGCTGCACAAAAACCACTTGTCTATGTTCTTTTTCGTCTGTGTCCAAAGTGAGAGAACAAGAGCGAGAGAGAGGTAGGAGGTGCTCCGGCGAGCATCTCTGGCAACATAATAGTCAGTTGACCTTAGTACTATGTATCTCGATGTGTAACAAGAACTTTCATATCTTCTTTTTGTGATGTTGTAAAACTAACCAAGATCAGATGCCTGACTAATCACTGCCTCCATGGAGGATTGAGGATGCCTGATTAAGCTGAACTTCCATGGCAGCCTGATAGTTCCGGCACAGAAAAACAGGGGTCAAGGGGATACATACCTCTGATGTAGAAGACGCAGGCGACATCGCAGTGCTGGACGAATGTTCTTGTACCTCCGGCAAACTCAGCGCTTCTTCCTCCGGCGAACTCGGCGGCGACATTAGATGTTCCTCCAAAATTGATCTGATGGAGATTACGGCCGAGTACCCTTCCTTCTCATACCAAAAAACAACAATCCGGGTTCGGCACTCCATTGACTTGTCTTCGAGAAGGACACGGTCTACAATCAATCCAAATTGGACACCGGACTTGCGCGCGAGCACGACCTGCATTCCTCTGCTCCGACCGCGCCCGACGCCCGGGCCGGCGACTCCTCCGGCCCTCGCCACGCCGGTGACCGCCAAGAACCCCGCCACCTCCTCGCCTCCGCTTGCTGCTCGTCGCCAGGAGCGCCGCCACCTTTCTTTCCCCTGACACCGGCGGCCATAGGAGCCCGGTCGTCCCTGGTGGTTGGCCCGCTTGAGCAGGGGAGGCCAACGAGATTGTCATGCGCGAGCAGAGGAGGTCGCGGACAGCGACGGAAGGAGGAGGCGCGGGCGAAGCAGGGATGATGGAGCTAGGGGCGCGGCGCGCTCGCGCGGAGGCATGAGGCGCACGGGACTGGGCGAGGTGAAGCAGCAACACGCGGTGCGAGGGAAGGTCCCGCGGCGACGGGGCACCGTAAAACAGAGGCGGACGGCGGAGGTGCTGCAGGAGCGGCACTCGGGCGCGAGGTGAGGAGGAGCAGAGGAAGGGGAGGCCGGAGGTGGTCCCCACTGACGATGGAGGGAAGCAAGCGCGAGGGGGAGGATGAGAGGAAACGGAACAGTGGCCTGCTGGTGGCTGCCGGCGAGGGGTCGTCGGAGCGGCGTCGTGGACGCCGGCGAGTGGCCGGCGGTGGAGTCTGGAAATGGATAAGGACTGACTGCGGGCTGAATTCTAACTAATGCAGGGGCTCTTTTGCAAAAATGAAACATTTTCTTAGGAACTCACTTAATATAGGACTGCGGGTTGAATTCAACAAACAACAGAGGCTTTTTTGCAAAATCGGCCACGACGGACGACCAGAAGCGATAGCTGGTTTATTAGTAAAAAAAAGGTAGAGAGATAGAGATAGAGAGGTAGAGATAGAGATTACTGCCCCAAGTAGGAAAAAAAAAAGTTCGCTCCAGCTAACCGTTATCTTTTTATTTTTTGAGAAACAGCTACGTACTAACCGTCATCTTTTTTTCTTTTTTTTTACGCACGCACCCGGGTTTAGCAGTAACCGCCGGAGTAAACTTCAAGTCTAGCGGCCGCCCGGCCCCACGCACGCCCCTCCCTCCTCGTGACGCCATAGATAAAACGGCCAGGCCCACCGCCCCCTTCCTCTCGTTTTCTCCGTTCCCCTCTCGGCCTTCCCCCCTCGCTTCCCTTCCGCATCGGCGCGGCGCCCTACCCTACCAAACCACCACCCCCTCCTCCCTCTCCCCAACCCCCCTCCCCTTTCCAAATTCCGACCCGATTCCATCCAAAATTACAAGTTCAGAACTCAAGGATTTGAATTCCACCACCGCAATTATTATCTTCCCCGTCGGGAAGGAAGGAAGGAAGGAAGGAAGGAAGGGGAACCCCGTTCCGTTTCGAACTCGAGCCTCGCCTCGCCTCGCCTCGCCTTGCCTATTTGGGTGCCTTTTGTCGCCCACTGTTGGGTGTTGGGTGCGCCGCGCCTCCTCAATTCTCGTGCGGCGAGGCAAGTTTCCCCCCTCCCCCTCTCGCCCCGAAATGAAACTCCCCTCCTTCCTTTTTACCCTTTTTATCCTCTCTCCCACTGTTCTTCACCCTCTTCTCGAGTGAAATTCGGCCGATTCGCGTCGCCGAATTCCGATCTGTTGCTCCTGGTTTGTGGGTTGATGGTAGCTGACTTGGATTTGTGGCGTGCGTGCAGGGATCTGTCTGTCCGTCTATGGTCGCCGGCGGGAGGGCGGTCCTGCGGCGGGCGAAGATGGGCGGCGACGACGACGACGACGAGTACGTCGTGGACGAGGACGAGGAGGAGGAGGTGGAGGAAGAGGATGACGCGGCGGTTGCGTGCTCCGACGAGGACGCCGCCGAGGAGGAGGAGGAGGCCGACCCGGAGCCGGAGCCCGAGGACGAATCTGACGCCGACTTCGACGGGGATGCGGAGGAGGAGGAGGACGACGAGGATTTCGAGATCGACAAGCCGCGGCAGCGGCCCAGGCGCCCTCCCAGGCCTTCCCCCAGGCCTCGCGGGCGGGGCAGGAAGAAGGCCAAGTCGGACGACGACGACGATTCCGACGCGGTTTCCGAGGAGGAGGACGACGACGAGGACTTCGAGATCGACGCGCCGCGGCCCAGGCGTCCGGCCAAGGCTCGCGGCCGGGGCCGGAAGCGGAGGCGGAAGCAGGAGTCGGAGGACGAATCCGATGCGGATTTCGAGGAGGAGATCGAGACGCCGCGGCCCAAGGCTCGCCGCCGGGCCAGGAAGGCCAAGCCGCGCGACGACGACGACGACTCCGATGCGGATTTCGACGACGAGGAGGAGGACGAGGATTTCGAGATCGACACGCCGCGGCCGAGGCGCGCGCCCACGGCTCGCTCCCGGGGCAGGACGAGGGTGCAGGAAGAGGAGTCCGACGCGGAGTTCGATGGGCAGGACGAGGGGTTCGAGATCCAGACTGGAAGGCCGAGGCGTGCACCCACGGCTCGCTCCCAGGGCAGGGCAGGGAAGCAGGAAGACGAGTCTGACGAGGAGTTCGATGGGGAGGAGGGTGAATCGGAGAAAGAGGAGGTGGAGGTCGAGGCGCCATGGCCGAAACGCCCAGCCACGGTTCGGTTCCGGCGCAGAAGGGAGGAGCAAGAGATCGAGTCTGATGCAGATTTCAAAAGGGAGGAGGAGGAAGAAGTGGAGAATGAGCAGTTGGAGGTCGAGACCCCACAACCAGCCATGGACCCTTCCTGGGGTAGGAGTGGGGAACAAGAGGATGAGTCTGATGCCGATTTCGATGGGGAGGAGGAGGAACTGGAGAATGAGGAGTTAGAGGTCGAGACCCCACTGTCAGCCAACTTTCGCTCTGGTGGCAGGAATGTGAAGGAGGAGGATGAGCTTGATGCAGATTTCAATGTGGCGGAGGAGGAAGCTGAGGATCTGGAAGAGGATGAAGAGCTGGAGATCGAGACGCCAGAGTCAGTCAAGTATCGTTCCGGCGGCAGGAATGTGAAGGAGGAGGAGGAGCTTGATGCAGATTTCAATGTGGCTGAGGAGGAAGTTGAGGATCAGGAAGATGATGACGAGCTGGAGATCGAGACGCCAGAGTCAATCAAATATCGCTCCGGTGGCAGGAATGTTAAGGAGGAGGATGAGCTTGATGCAGATTTCAATGTGGCTGAGGAGGAAGTTGAGGATCAGGAAGAGGATGAAGAGCTGGAGATCGAGACGCCAGAGTCAGTCAAGTATCGCCCCAATGGCAGGAATCTGAAGCAGGAGGACGAGTTTGATGCAGATTTCAATGGGGCGGAGGAGGAAGTTGAGGATCAGGAAGATGATGAGGAGTTGGAGACGGAGACGCTACAGCCCAGGAACCTGTCCGAGGCCCGTGGCAAGGGCAGGAAGGTGAAGCCAACGGGCTCTAGCCGGCAGAGACATGAGGATGATGATGATTACGAGGAAGAGATCGAGGATGAGGATGAAGACTTTGATCCGGAGGTGGACGAAGATGAGGAGGATGAGGAGGAAGATGTTGAAGAAGAAGATGATGATTTGGGGGATTATGCCCCAACTCTCGCCACAAAGGTTAGACCTAGGAACCACTTGGCCAAGCGGAAGCCAGCGGCTGGGCGCCAACACCGTAAGAGGAAGAGTGGTTCCAAGGGAAAGACAAGGAATGTCACGTCAGCACGTCGGCGTAGGAGCAAGCGGCGGGTGGCTGACGACTATGAAGACGATGAGGAGGAAGAGGATGATGATGATTTTGTTGTGAAGGACGACGTGGAGGAAGAGGTCAATTACCGGCCAAGGAAGAAGGCTAAGGTTGGGAGGAAGACGAGGGAAGGCACTGCAGAGCCAGTTGCTGTGGGAGAAGCATGGCCATCAGTCGAATCTGACACATCAGAATTTGAGTTTGTGACATCTGACGAGGATCATGCTGAGAAGGAAACACCAGTAGCTGAGCCTGCGAGGATCAAGAGAAAGAAGGGTAGGAGGAAGAGGGGTTCTGAATCAGACTCGTCTTCAGACTCTGATTATGTCATATCAGAGGAGGAACTTAAGGATTTGGGGGTGCCTAGGCCCCAAGAGACCGTGCCACAGCTGCCTTCGCCCCCAGCACGAAGGACCATTGCTCCTAGGAGGGTAGACGAGAAGGGAAAAGAGCCAGAGGAGGCTTTGAAACAGATATGTGGTATCTGCCTCTCAGAGGAGCAGAGAGCTACAATACAGGGTGTGCTTAATTGCTGCTCACACTACTTCTGCTTCGCGTGCATCCTGGAGTGGTCAAAGGTGGAGTCGAGGTGTCCACTGTGTAAACGGCGTTTCAACACAATTACCAAGTCATCAGTGGCAGATCTAGGATTGGGGTTGAGGAATGCTCCTGTTAGGGTAGAAAAGCGCGATCAGGTAATGGTTTACTCTCCTGGTCACTATAAAATTACATATCCACAGGGTATAAAGCCATTCTGCATTGCTTGCCCACTTAATATTTGGATTGGTTAGTCATTGAGATGAAATGCATTTATGTTCGAACTACCACTAAAATATATGAGAATCCTGTCCCCGTAGGAATAGAACATACATTTTGCTGTTACTTATTATAGTAAGTGTGCTGTGTTCTTTCTAGTGACCATCCAAAATGTCCGTTAGTGGATTAAAAGTTTTAAGCAGAGATGACACGGAAATTTACCAATTTAGGGATAACATATCCATTACATCCACTTTGCCGTTCAAACCCAGGGCTTGATGATGTACATTCATATTTCTGCAAGTAAGAGCTTTTCTTGTTGTATTCACAACCTTGATATTGATATAAATCTGTAGATGTTGAGAACTTTATAACCTTTTGAATTTTGAATTACGTTTCGCATGACAACATATATAAAACCTCTTAATTATTACTATGCTAACTGAAACTTGTGCACGGGTTAACTTTAAAGTAATGTTAACAATAAACTTCGTGACAGTTGCATGGTCGTCTCATTTGTTCTGTTTCTTCCTTGAACAGGTATACCAGCCCACTGAAGATGAAATGAGGCGTTGGTTAGACCCATACGAAAATGTTGTATGTATAGAGTGCAATCAAGGTGGTGATGACAATCTCATGTTGCTATGTGATATATGTGATTCCTCTGCACATACTTTCTGTGTTGGTCTGGGGAGAGAAGTACCAGAAGGCAACTGGTACTGTGGTGGGTGTAGATCCAGTGTGGAAGGGCCTTCTCATGCACAAATACAGGATAGGGTGGTTCACCGTGGAGATAGTAACATGAACACCGCCGATAGCAGTTCTGGTTCGTTGGGCAGATCTACATCAAGTGGAGTGTTCCAGAGACCACCACCAATAAACGTTCAGCCTTCTTTGCAAGGATTTGATCTGAATCTCTCTCCAATAGAAACCCCTGAGGAAGATAAGCGAGCCGAGTCACATCTCTCAGCTGAACCTGTATCAACTCCTACTGGGAGGCATGCAACTCTTGATAGGAGGCGTGCCTTGAACCGACGCATTCGTATTCTTCTATTTAGACCTAGGACTGCAACTAATGCTTGGCAGAATAGCATTCAGCAAGACAGAAGCGCACCAGGAACAGAACAAAATCAACGGATCGCCTGCACCTCTACAGATGTGAGCCCATCATGTTCCAGGGCTGATTTTATGCAGAGCCAGCAGAGTAGCTCACATTTTGTACAGTCTGCAAGTAATCTTAATCAATGCACTGATGAGGGTGGAAGCAATTTCCGAGAAGTAGCGAATGCCAAGGACCAGCTGATTCCTATTGTGAAGAAGAGCATCAAGCACATTTGTGCCCGGTCCCCATTGGGTACGTATAGCGGTCTGAGCAAACTGTTTTAATGTATCAATTTTTCGAGCACCCACAAGTTAACATTTGGGTGTAATAGTTTGATTTTATCCTTAACATATTAGATTACCCAGAGATTGAGTAGCCTTGTATTTTCATATTTTAAATGGTAGGTTAGAGAAAATTAATTCATTTTATGCTAGGGCATCATCCCATTGTAGCAGTTGTGGTCCCAAAATAAATTAAGTAGCTACATCTATACTGGAAATGTGTCTCAGGTTTGTGGCTATTAGTAGCCTAAATAATAATTACCTGTCCTTTTTATAGTCCTTTTTTTCTGCTATGCTGTTGGCCATTGTACGCTGAACTAAATGCAAAGACAGCTGTGTTGGACTATATATGCAATCTTGCTAAAGCATGGCTAATTAACTGGAACTAACCTCTCATCCTTTATGTTTCAGATCAATCTTCTTTCACGAATGTAGCACGGCGGGCGACACACACTATCTTAGCGTTGTCTGGTATTGCGCACAACAAGGATAGGGTTGTTTCTACACCGTTTCCTTTTCCTAGCCATTGTTGCCACGCCTGTGATGGCCGAGAGCCAGCGTTTCTCATGAGAACCATCTGCTCGTCATGCTTCAACTCATTCGTTGGTGATGTCGTCAGTCACATCGCCAATATGTTTTCTTGAAGTAGGTGGTCTTTTTAAGCTGGCATTTCTCTCTCTGCTGTCGTCATTCTTTGAATTTATAGACACTTGGAAAGATTATACGGATACGAAGGTGTTAATGAATGTTGGATAGCTTGAAATATAGATCATTTCTAAATGATGCATTCTCTTTTGGAACTAACTTCTTAATTGAGTTGTCATTAGCCATCCTGACAAGTTTCAAGTCTTCCAGCAAGCTGCTACAGTCTTCATTGATGATGCCCTCCAATTGTCTTTTTTATTGCCAACTGTGTAACTTGCTTTTCCTTTCTGTCAGTACGTTGATTTCTGGAATTATGCTTTATCTCTCCAACAGAGGTGGAGCATCTTATATATCGCGAGAGAAAAATATGGAGGAAAAAAAACTGAACATTTTATATTTTGAGCATGTCATTATGAACATTACAAATTGAGAATAGGATATAGGAGCAGTCTGCTAGATCTGATGTAGTGTTAAGAAAATCTCTGCATATCATTCCATTAGTGTTTGTTATACTTTGGAAGGAATAACCTTTCTTGGTAGGAATAACTTGTGCCCTTTTCACTTAGTGTTCTCAGTTCGGTATCTTTCTTGTCTGCACTTGATGAAGCCCCCTCTCATAACTGAAGCCAGGCGGTCTTCGATTTATCGGATTTCGAGCTAGCTGCCCTTTTCCCTTTTCTTGCTCTCATATTCCTCTTCTGAGTTTTCCTCTTAAGAGTCCTATATTCTTCTTCTAGGGTCCTATATATCTAAATTCAACAAGTCCTGAACCATTTTTATCTCTGTGTTCATCTGTACGGACTGTGCAATTATGTTACCATCTTGCCCTTTTCCCACCGAACCGTACTGTTACATTTCGTGCAGATTAACCTATTGTTGATATGAGCTGTTTAACTCCCGAGTTCATGCAATTATTCAAGGGTTCATCTTGTCTCTCTTTTTACGGGATTTTATGTTAGTTCATTTTAACTTAGAAGGAACGATTAGATTCCAACAACCTCTTTTGTGCGGGACTTGAAAATTAAAATCCCCTTGGTCAAGTCTTACATTATGTATGCTGTATGCACTCCAGTTTTACATTTAATATGTTTCATGTATGTCAGTTCTTATTAGAACGCTGCTACACAGACGACAAACGGCGGACGATTTGCAGACGATGTAGCACATCAAGCCGCTCATGTGTAAAGCAAAACTAAACAACACCGTTCGATCCAACATCGTCCAGTGTTCGGCCGGAGTACTGTCGTCTGTATAGTAGTTTCGTTCTTATTAGGTTGTGTCATGTGTGTTATTTGCTCTCCCTGGGGCCTATGAGCTGACAAATTTGCAGTTGGCATGTGCCTTCTTTTTCTTTTGGGGTGGAACAAAAATGTGTTTACACAAGGTTTTTGGATTCTTCCTATAAGATCTGCATCCAAAATTTACTGCTATTAAAAATTTACTGGTGTGCAGCAGCATCGCTCATTCATTTGCCTGCGACAGTTTTTTTTTCATGTCAACCACCCACCGTGTGTGTCGGCGCGCAGCTGAAAAATCATCATCAGAAGGAAGCTCTATCTTGTGATTGGGTTGGGATATTCATGCTTATTCAGCGCCACAAGTGTGTGTGTGTTCTTGGTGGTTTTGAGGTTCTTTCAGTTTTCTTTTTCTTTTCTGCGGGAACTTTCATTTTTCTTTTCTTTTTTACGGGAACTTTCAGTAGTTTACTAGCAATATCTTACCCAGTTGCAATCAGAGGGATTTGCATCTGGCATCATAAAGGGTTTGCGACTGGCATCCCAATTCCCAAGCCCGTCTGCATCAGGAAGGGATAAAGCAGCAAATCCTAGCACGAAAGAAGAGAATACATATCTCTCTCTCTCTCTCTCTCTCTTCTCTTTTTATTACTAGTTAGACAATAAAGCAACACCCTAACCCTAGCAGTTCTCTTACGAAGCAAGGCAAGGCATACATGTGTTCCTTTTCATAGCCGCCAAGCTGAAGGAACGGATATTCATTTCGCAAGCAGCCTTTGTTGTCGTCCTCAGAGGGGAAAGATGTCTCGGGTCTCGCGGCTTTCGGCTCCACCACGCACCGCATCGTGGTGAGGTTCCAGTCACAGAGCATGAGCACACGCCATGCCTTGCATCCAGCCTCGTCTCGGTCCCGTTCGTGTCCGACGACGAGGACAAGTTGAACATCGATCTGTCAACAGATTAATTAGAGTAAAATATTACTGTATGTATATATGTATAAAATTGTTGAAACGGACATATTGCTTGTCTCGACGCGACGAAAGGGACACTCGTGCCGAGGACCTTGAGAGGTATACAATGTGACGCGGAAAGGTATACAATGCGACTATCTGCACAGTTGAGTGAGCGCTGCTTCCAAGGCATCAGATTCCTGATCGGACGGTCGTGGAGGCGACGCCAAGCGCCATACGAGGCGAGGTCCCGAGCATAGGATGCCGCTTGCCTGCCGCTGGCCGCCAATTCGGTCGCTGCGGCCTCTTGATATCACGCACAGCAACGGCCCTCTCTCTGCCTCGCGCTGCAGCTAGCTGGCCTTCATTGTCGCGCCCACCTCCCTCTCCCCTCTTCTCTCCTCCAGCGCGCCACGCACGCTCGCGGAGCAAAGCAAGGGATGGCGCCGACGTACCGGCCTTACGCGGCGGAGTACGGGGCGGTGGAGCGGAAGGTGCCGGGGGCGCGGTGGGTGGCGTCGGCGGCGGCGGCGTCGTCGGTGGCGTGGTTCGTGGGGGACCAGGCGGAGATGAAGCGGCGGGGGCGGGTGGCCAGCTACAAGGCCTACGCCGTGGAGGGCAAGGTGAAGGCGTCCCTCCGCCGGGGCCTCCGCTGGATCAAGGCCAAGTGCTCCCACATCGTCCACCGCTAGTCCGCTCCGCCCGCCGTCTTCTTCTTCCTTGGTATTGGCCCTGCTCTGTCTCCCATGGATTCGGACCGCGCTCCCGCTCCACCACCTTGCGTGCTGCTCTTTCTCTGCCTTGTAAAACCTGGTCTGTTCTCATGGGTGCTGGCTCGCCGGATCCTGCAGGTGGCTCATCAGGCGGACGACCGATCGATGGTGGCGAGAACGGATGCGCGAGGGATGCAGCCGAGGGACGGACTCATCGAGCGTTCCTTGCGAGTAGATTAGTCACTAGTGTAAGATCATCATGCATGGGTCCTTTCTTCTTCTTTTTCTAGTTTTCCTGTTGTCGAGAGAGAGAGAGAGAGGAGGGGGGAGAATGTTTGTTTCCGGGGTTGCAAGCAACGTTGGCCATCAATCATCACACGCGATTCCTTTCTTTCTGCTTCAGTTTCAGATAGTCTGCTCGTGAGATTCCTTTCTGCTTCAGTTCAGTTTGCTTCTGCAAAACATACCTGGTTGTTGTGTCCGCTTGATACTCTCAGGCTCAAAAGTGCTTGCAAAACAAATTATCCCCTGCAAGGGAAATGAATTGGCGCACGAATGAAAATGAATCGAACAGCACACGCTCCAGAATCACGGGGCATGAGCAAGCTCGGTGAAACCCTGTGGCACGTGTGGACAACCTGTTGGCCGCCCTGCCACGTCGTCTCCGCTGGTCCCAGTCAACGCGCCCAACAGGTTGTCCACACGGGCCTGGCTATCAGCCCATTGCCGTCAGAGGCTCAGAACCCATTTTTGGCGTCTGTTCCAGACAGCAGATGCCTGCGGACGAGAGGGAAAAAAAATATCTGAGCTACATCCCCTCACAATTTTTATTAATTAATAACCAGTATTAATTGCTTGGTAATTTACAGTGTTTTGAGATCTGATAAAAAATAGGAATAATACTACACAAATAATACATATTGGAGAAGTGGGGTATTGATCCCCATACCTCTCGCATGCTAAGCGAGCGCTCTACCATCTGAGCTACATCCCCTTACTGTAACGTAATCTTCTCTTCAACTTATATAGAGAATCGAGAACGTTGTTGATTTTTTAATTATTTTTCCCGAATAAACGTTGTTGAGTTCCCACCTATTCCATGGTCGATAAGGCAAAAGGTACTCCCTTCGTAAACTAATATAAAAGCGTTTAGATCACTAATTTATAGTGATCTAAACGCTCTTATATTAGTTTATGGTCGTTTTTCTATGATTGGTTTTAGAAATCGTTTGTATTCCTTAGAAAAACGACCAAGTTTTACAATTTATTACCAAGTTAAAGAATTAAAATATACACAAATGGCAAAGCTCCGTCACATAAAAACTAGATGTCGCATCAAAGTCCTTCAAATGACACATGCCAAGACTAATCAAGCAGGGTGATCCTCTGTCACTAATGTTGTTCATATTTGTCATGGAGTGCCTCGTTGCGCTCATGCATGTCTGTTGTCGTCGATGCGTGTATGTTCAATTTCATGGGTTAGTGTCAAACACGCGCTCTTAGCCCTCAACTCTAATATACGAAGTAAATAAAAATGGAGGGAGTATTTGCTGAAACACAATACTACTTTCATCGAAGCCAATCATGAGGTAGGTTCCATATTTCTATCATATGGAGTGTTAATTTTTCTCGTCTTCTCTTCATTAACTAAGCAACAAGAGGCAAGCAAGTCAAGGACACAAAGATCATAGAACTACGCATTAATATATTCTTTCACTCCCAGGAAACACGTGGAACCCTCAAATTAGTTAGCATTGAAATCCCAAAGAAAAAACCCCAGAGGATCTCACCTATTATATTGTTCACCTAAGTAGTGCTAATCCTTTTCTTTGATACTCTTATAGATAAAATGTGATAGTCATATTTTATGAATAAGAAAAGATTATTTACATGTACTTAGTAGTGCAAGCACATGGATATATATATTATTTTTACTAATAGAGAGGAGTAACCATGGTACACAGTGTAAGGTGGAAGGATGTAGGAAAGAAAGGATAGAAAACAAGCCATGCTATTTAGGTTTTTCTGGGACAGTTCTTCGAAAATGGTTGATGGAAGAAGAGATAACGTTGGTGATTTGCAAGAAATTTAATGACTTTAC